CTGCAGATTTAGGGAGGGAGGAGGCGGCAGTGCTGCAACAGCGCCGTGGGAGGGAGGGAGAGGCGAGCAGGGGGGAGGGAGGAGCCGGGCTGAGAGGAGAAAGTTTGTAGATGCTCTGCCAGATGCCCAGGAGCTGGGTCCATTCATCAGAGTCCACCGAGGGGTGAGTGGAGGGGCACCCGCGGCCAAGGGGCTGTGCATGCATGGGGAGGAGAGGCCGTGCAGGAGGTGGCTGCTGGAACCTGGGGGCAACCGTGGCACCCAGGGGTACCTGGACTCTCTCCCCAGACCACCTCTCCTTGGCCCCCAACTCACTGGGCAAGGTGGGCGCCCGCCATCCATGAGAGCTCCCCCAAATCACTCAGAGACTCCCCGAACGGAGCCGCGCCAGCAACAGCTCTTCCCACAGTTCTAGCTGCAGGAAGGAGGGGAGGGGGGACTTGCCAGTTATTAATAGCAGCACATCCGTGTGGAGGGGAAGGACAGGCCATTGAAAAGCCTGGAGCAGTGGCTTCTAAGAGGGAGAGCAGGGGGCCCGGAATCAGGCGGAAGAATCCAGGGGAAGAATCCAGCTGAAGGGGGAGGAGCCAGCAGACAGGAAGGGCTTCTGAGGATTCCAATACCTAAGACCTAACAGCTAGCTTCCCACCAGGTTGGGGCGAGGAACCCCAACAGCAGAGATGGGCCAGCGGCTGATAATCACGCAGTCACATTTAGACATACCTGCCAAAGAGCTTCTGGGACAGGAGACCCCTGCGGACATGGGCCCTCATCTCCCAGCCAGTGACCTGGGGCTCCACGAGCACTGGGACCCCGAATTTGATACACGGGCAGCTCTCAGCGCAGACCCTCAAAAAGCCTTGGGAGTGGACCGCAAATTTCTCAGCCTGCGTCCAGGCCACCTTTAGGAAGGGGCTGTAAAACCCCAAGGGAGAGGAAGCAGCCCAACAGGTCCAATAACTAGAGAGCCTGAACACTTTTCTCCAGGGCCCTGTTTCCTAGACAACACCAACAACACCATCTCCACCATCTCCAGCTGCAGGGAGGGGAAGAGAGAGCCTTGGCTGAGTTCAAGTCCGCCTCTCTCCTCCCCCCACCCAGCGCAGCCCCCTCCCCGCCCCCCTCCTCTGCCAAATCCAGATCTGAACAGGAGCAGAAATGGAGGGGCCAGGCAGTCCAGAGGTTAAGGGCGGGAAGTCTCCGCGAGGTGCAGGCCAGGGGGTGGAGGAGGCAGCAGTGCAGTGCGCTGTAGCCTTAGCAAACCGCCAGGAAGAGACTGGCATCCCCCTGTCCCCTGCTCCCAGGAGACACTTTCCCTTTCTGCTTTCTGCCAGGGCCCTGCTCTGTGGGCACCACAACTAAGCAAGCACTCTCCCTGCTGTGCGATGGGCCCTGGAAAGAACAGCTCATAGGGTCTAAGCCAGCGGCTCAGCGGGACCCCAATGAGGCCCTCTCCCACCCCGCCCCCTGCCACACTGCCAGCCTCAGCAAGTGAAAAGGGATCGCTGCACCCAAGAAACAGAAGCCCAGGCGCTCACTGCCACAGCACCTCCTCCATAGCGGACCCGGAACCGAGGAGATAAGGTTCTGACGGGGACAATGAGGACCAGTAGGTCATGAAGGGGAGCGGGGGGAGAAAAAATCAACCGGCAACAGCCAAGCTGATCCTGGGCTACAGCCAGGGGACGACGAGCCCTTTCCATCAACCTCTGCCATCCAGCTCTCTTTGTTCCCATGCCTCCGAGAAGCCCTGACTCTTGGAGGCCACCCGGGGTGATCTTTACAAGCCCATGTATACAACTCACGAGGAGGCGCCTCCGGTAGAAACCGTGTCCAGTTCTATTTCTTAACTGCTTGTACTGTCAGTTCCTCAGCTGGACTGTAAGTGTCTCCAAGCCAGGGGCTACCTCCCCACGGCCTAGAGCTCCACCAACCCAAAGGAAGGGTTCCATGAATGCAGCTGATGATGTTTCTAGGACAGGACTCATCTCTCCAGAAGGACAAAGACGAGAATAAAGAAAAATTCTCTAGGAAAAATGACCCCTGAGACCTAACCATCTTGGGCTCTCAAGTGTTCTTACTCAGGCTCGAGAGAGAAGCCAGCCCGCCGGCTGGATCACAGAACTTTGTTTCCCCAACTCACTAGAAACCTGGTGTTTCAGCAACACGCTGGAACCAGAGGACAACACCGTCCTCTGTTTTGAGACACTCAGCCTCACCCAGGCAGGCCACCACATCACACAATATCAAAGCTTCAAGGGGGTGCTCCCTGGAATTGAACAGTGCACAGCTCTTACAGCTGTATACAGCAGCCTTGCAGCCAGGCTAGTAGCTTTCCCTCTGTGCCAATCCTACTAGGATGGACCCCTGGAGAGCAGCCAGAGGCATCTGTGAACAGGACGCTGAACATACCTGCTTCAAGTTCAGGCCTACAAGCTCTTCCACAGCTGGCCCAGAGGCATGTGAAGCCTGGAGCTGAACGAGCCAGCAGTCAGCCAGGCTCCACCAGGGACCCAGCGTGCAGACCCACAGCTCCCTCTCCAGACCTTCCAAGATCTCTTTGGCAGGAAGATCACTATCCATAAGTTCAAGCTGATAAATATTTCCTAAGCCTTTGCTGCATGCCAGGCTCTATGCTAGGAGCCAGGGACACTGGGATCAAGTGGGACAGACAGATTGTTTCAATACCGTGTGGTGGGCACAGTGGCGGAGGGACTATGACTGCTGGAAAGAGGGTCCTCTGGAGGGGAGGGAGGACTTATCAGGAGAAGGTGATGGCTCTTGAAGAAAGAATAGCAGGAGTTTGTCAGGAAAAAAAAATAGGAGCTTAAACGTGGACGGTGTGCCCAAACTCCGAAGCATTCAGAATTACTAGTGCTAAAGACCACGGCGGGGGAGGCTAGGGACACTGGGCCAACAGGCAGCAGTGGATTATGGAGGGCTCTGCCCACCACACCCAAGGTTTCAGCAGGTGGTGTGGACCCACTGGTGACTTTTAAGCAGAGGGGACAAAAGGCCATCTCTGCATTCTGGATACCTTCGTCTGACAGCAAGTGGAGGAAGGAGATCAGAGACAGAGGGACCCGTGGGAAGCTGTGGCAGAAGTCCAGGCAAGAGACGGAAGGACCTCTGCCGGGGTGGTCTCCGTCACCGGAGAGGGATACTCTGATTGACGGCAGACCGATGCCGGGAGAAGGCAGTGTACCTGGAGGCTGGGAGGTGTACCTGCGTCAGGCAATGAGGAGGAAGGGGGGGGCCGACCTCGCAGATGCCTGGGCCTCCTGGCTCTCACCTCCAGCTGGTTACGCAGCTGTGTTTGGAGTCTGACTGGGGAGCTCTTCTCTAACCACAGAGAGGGTGCCCAACAGTACTCAACATGGCTCAGCAGGTTGGGGCAGAGCCCTACAAAGAGCAAACCAACGAAATTACACACCCCTGGGCAAGAAGTGGAAGACTGGCTTGGCGCCAACCCAAATCAGAAACCTGCTCCCATGCCGCTGCGCTAACTGGTCGACCCCTTGTCCTGTGCTCCCGGCTCCCGGAGCGCTTCCCAGCCCAGCGACAGCACCCTCTCAGGGGGGGGTCACCATCCCGTACCCCAATCCTCAGAGCCACACACCCCCTGTCACTTTTGGCTTAAAGCCTTCCCCAGTGAGGACCCCCCCCCAGGCAAACACAAGTAGGGAGAGTCCAACAGAGGCACACAGACAATATGCATAAGGGAACCGAGCATGGCCTACCACGTGCTTCTCCTTCAGATCCATGGGCCCAGAGTACTGCAGGCATGCCCAGATGAATGTGATCACCCCCAAAAGGAAGGCTCCTCCCCAGCATGTACAAGGCCCAGTGACTCTGTCACAGTCACGGCATCTAGGGAGAAAGATGGAAGAGATCCCGTGAGTCCAGGTTGTTGAACAAGCAGCTACTGAGAAACACGACGGTGTCGTCTATACAACAGAGCACTACATGGCAAAGACTTGGGCACCAGAGCCCGGCCGGTCCTGCCCAGGCCACGCCGGAGGGGTGAAGTTTCCCCTCTGTGAGCCCTCATTTTTGGAGGCACACTATGTTTTGCTCCACATGTACTCTAACTCACAGACTTCCGGCAAGCAGGAAAAGCGTTGATTTCTCAGCTTTTTAGAAAGTAAAGATTAGGGATACCCGGCTGGCTCAGTTTTGAATTCGAGCCGCGCGTTGGGTGTAGAGATTACTTAAATAAATAAACACTTAAAAAAAAAAAATCAGGGAAAGTCATTCATTCATTCATTTTAAGAATAAATAAAAGTTAGGGGGCGCCTGGCTGGCTCAGTCAGTAGAGCATGCAACTGCTGATATCAGGGTCGTGAGTTCAAGCCCCACAGTGGGCATGGAACCTACTTAAGATTTAAAAAAAAAATTTTTTTTTAACAAATAAATAAAAGTGAGCATTAAGGTAACTGGAACCCCCCCACATGCCCACAAACACGCCCCCCCCCACGTACATGTATGCCCGCACATACATGCCCACACACGTGTCCACACACACGTGCCCACGTGTCACGTAGCCGAACCTCTCGTGTGCTTTGCTGATAGGGCAGCGTTCAACGGGCACCCGGGCACACACCTACCAGGACGGGCGATCCGATCTCGACGGCAATCTGGAAAATGAAGACTAGCCCTACCTCCCCACACAACCCCTGACTGTCACCCATCCATCCTGGCAGCCGGCACACTGCAAAGGTTTCAGACCAGGGAGTGTTTGGGTAGGGTGCCACTGAGTAATCTGGTTTGGTGCCCAGTGACTCCTCGTGGAGTAAGCACCAACCTGCTGACTAGGGCAGTTCTTTCTGGGGCCTGTAGCAAAGCCTTGTTAAGAGGAGCTGGTCAGAAGCCCGGGAGAAATGATCCATAAAAGAGCTGTCTAGAAACAACAAAAAAAAGCTGTGTCCAGGGGACCCCAGCCAGGAGGCCTAGGCTCTGCAGTCACCCACTCCACTCTAGGACCCCGTGTGATTCCTCTCATGGTAGCACCAGGGCTGACCTCACGCGTCTGTGCTTCCACGCCTCTCCCTATGCCTGCCTTTGCAGCCGAGGCTTTCAGAGCGGAGTGAGCCAGCCCCCAAGGGTCAGAGACAGACAGTGACACTGGATGTGGCCTCGCAGTGCAGTGACATTTGGTCCTTGGCAGCCAACTGAAATGGGATCCTGAGCGGCTGAATCCACGTCTCCCCAAGGCCGCTCTGACTCACGCAGCCCAGGCCATGTTTACAAGTACAGCGTACAGAGCAAGCTCCCATACGCCCCATCCCAGCAGGGGCTGGATGAGGTAGTTGCCACACAGAACAAGGCACCAGAAGCCAGATGGGGATTGTGCTTAACTCCTTCTGCCAACACGACGAGAGTGAAATAACTTTGCGGCCAGCTGGAACCACAGTGTTCAGAGAGGGCAGCCAGGAGCAGGACATTTTTCTAAGAGTCTCTGTTTTCCCATCATTCCATACATGGGATTCTGGGAAAGAATGGTCCTCAACTGCCTGATCTGAAACCAGCAGCTAGATCCTTAAAGGGCCAGTTCTACCCCTCGTCCAATGTGAAAGAAAGCACAGGCTTCAAAGCCAAATACCCCTGGTTCAAATCCTGGCTCCAACATGTATCAACTGCCAAATCACCTTGGCAAATTACTTGTCTCTCTGAGCCTCAGGGTCCTTGTTCATAGAATGATGCCTATTTCACAAAGAAGGAACAAGAATTACATAAAATATTATATGCAAAGGGTCTAGTACAGTATTTAGCATATGGTAGGTGTTAATAAATACTTGCCATTACTATCACCAAGAAACAAGAAATATGAACAAAGTGCCACCTAGATGAAGAATAAAGACTCAGAAGTAAGGAGAACAGGGGTGCCTGGCTGGCTCAGTCAGTAGAGCATACAACTTTTGATCTCGGAGTCATGAGTTCAAGCCCCACACTGAGCCTAGAGCTCACTTAAAAAAAAAAAAAAAAAAAAAAAAAAAAAAAAAAGGAAAAGAAATGAAAGGCATAAAGATTGTAAAGAAATATGTGAAACTGTCTTTATTTGCAGAAGGCTAGATAATATATGAAAAAATTCTAAGGAATAGAACATATAAGTGTGCAAGGTTACAAGATACAGGTCAAAATACAAAATACAAATGTAAATTAAATTTGTATGTGCTATAATGAAATATAGAAAAATAGGACATTTTCAATATCACTTACAATAGCACCAAAAAAAACCCCCACAAAATACTTAGGGATGACTTTTTAAAATATATATGTAAGGGGCCCCTGGTTGGCTCAGTCAATTAAGCATCCAACTTCAGCTCAGGTCATGATCTCACAGTTTGTGGATTTGAGCCCCACATCGGACTCTGTGTTGACAGCTTGGAACCTGAAGCCTCCTTCAGATTCTGTCTCCCTCTCTGTCTGCCCCTCCCCTGCTTGTTCTCTCTCTCTCTCAAAAATAAATAAATAAACATTAAAAATTATTATATATGGCCTATACACTATTGAGAGACATTCAAGACCTAAATAAATGGAGAGATATACCATGTTCAT